ACAATTCTTCCCCATTGGAACACATTAAACAGGTTTCAATGCACTCCAATGGGGAAATGCTTTTCGCTAGACGATAATTTCGCTAAACAGCTATTTCAGTGGAACAGATTATCATCGTCTAGCGAGGCACCACTGTACTGCAGGCTTGTTTCTCAGCATTGCTGATGGATGGGGGTGAACCAAAAGGTCAGACCTAAAATACCATCCTCCTCCTTAACTTTTATGATCATGATGTGTGTTTTTTTTTTTTGTTGTTTGAGGTTTAAAGGTTAGGGTTCTCAGCCTTGGGCATCCCAAATCCAGACTTCTGAAAAAGTGACTGATTGATTTTGCTACAGCTCCCAGCGTCCCACGGTGGCTAATAATGGCTGAAGGGTTTATAAGAGTTCCAATCTTTTAAAAGGCGACTCGTCCAAGCTCTGCAATAAATAAAAAAATAAACAAACATTTTTAAAATGACCATCTCTTCATGATGGTGTGGGAGTGGGGTGTGTGAAAAAGTGTGGAACTCTGAATTCAGACCACTGAAGGTTGTGGATATGATAACACTGGAAAGAGTGTACGCCTGCTTTCTTGCGATGATGGGCCTTGTAGTCCAACGCAGGGCAAGCACCAGAGAGCTGGGGGCTGCTGTGAGATGTTAAAGACGGATGAATATGTCCATCTGTCTTTCGATTGACTTTTCTTTCACTCTTTTCTTCTATTTCTTTCTTTTCGTTCTAGGAAAAAGTATATAAGCAGAGGCTTCTAAAACACGAGCGGGAGACCAAAACAACAGTGAGTCCTCCCCAAATGGCCCCACACCCAATGGGGTGCTTCGTGCAACTTCACCTTGTTCCTTATTGTGCTTTTCTTTCTTTTTATCTTCTACCTATTCATGAGAAACAGCCCCCAGTGGCTTTTTTGTGATAACCCAAAGGTCTTCCGTCGTCTCCTCCTCTAAGCAATCTGTGTTAAATTTGGGTTTTAATAACCTTTCTGGCACATGCTCTTTACAGGGGTCGGAGGGTTTCATTATGTCACAACGGCTCATCATGACCCAGGATGCTGGCAAATCTTTGGGTCCGAGTCCCGAGTTCAAGTCCATGTTTTTGGACTTGAACTCAGGTCCGAGTTTGAATCTTTGGTACCAAGTCCTGAGTCCCTATGAGAAACAAGGTTCTTTCCT